TAGCCACAAAATAACTTATCCTTTTATTTTTGTTTTTGTAACTGTTCCGAAATTAGTTAAAATAATGGTTTCAGAACGCACTGGAACGCACGTAATGACGATTCATTTCGCGTACGAAAGGACTTTGTATTCAAAGACTATAATTATTTACGTTTTTCTGAATAGTTATTAATTGTAATTAATATTCAATTAGTATGTAGACATCAAATCAACTACTATACTGATTTATTACGTACTGGATTCATATCATAAAAATAATTATGTAGCTTCATAGAAAGCTATGAATAAGCTTTAGATATGATTTTCAAACGGGATGGTGTTTACAACATAAAAACAAACCAATCTAGCTATACCTAGTTTGTTTTGGAACATGAAAAATAAAAGTCAAGTCCAGCTCCTATAGAAATTTGGCCATAGTTGTTTATGTCGTGGTGATAGCTTACACTAGAAATTAACTTTTGGTTTAATGATTTGAACTTTGTAAAAATCGTCATTTAAAAAAAAATGTTTGTGCCTTTGGATGAATACATTACTTGCACGAATATTAAAAATAACACGAAACTAACATTACTTCCCGTTTGCTCGTCACTTTTCGATATCGATTCAAAGTTTGAACGGTGTACTTGTGGTATTTTCGAGTACGTCCAAGATATAGCGAATATTTTGTCAAACACACATACCTAGTACCTACGTACCTATCATAAGATCACCTATCACGTGGTGAGGTTTTAGAATAATCCCCTTCCCTTACCCATAATCACGTGTTTTTTTTTTCTGGTACAAAGTATCTTAAAAATTTTCAGAATTTTTTCTGGAAAATTCAGGGCCGTGGTAAAAATGTCCAGAGATTAAGGTTGCAGGTTGTTTTTGAATATCATAAAAACAATAAAGGTAATGTGTAATCATGTGAAAAACATAATTGTACTGGTATATGAATGTATTTAATAGACATTGTCTTCGGACCACGGATTAGTGAGACTTTCTTCAACACTTACAAGTGGATAAGCATCTTGCACGTCAGCTCTTGGCACTTTGCTTTGTTGAAGATCAACGACAGTCTCATCAAACCACTCGGCGTCATTCTCGATCTATCAATCTGTCGTAGCGTGAGGATGCGTGTAGGGCGAACATTGTGCATCTCTGGACTATTATTACTTGGATTATTAGGTAGCTTGTCACATGAATTTACATGTGCCTTAACATTCTTCTTTGTACAGAAGTACAGTCCTCACCGCTGGCACGTCCTTCCCACATGCTGCTGACGATCATTCTTCAGGCTAGGACAATACAGGTCATAAGGCAAATTGTCAAAGCCCTCTTGCGTTGACATAATTCCAAAAGACCGACGGAGAAGAAATATAGCAAACGTCTTGCCATCATGCTCTTGAGGCTTCGAAATATATAGACCACTGGACGACTACAAAATCGGGTAAAGAGGAAGTGTCGGACAGGGAAATCGTTGCCTGGCAACGGCAAGTTGAGATCATTTCGCCAATTTTCAGTTTAGAAGTGGCGCCTTCAACGAAAAATTAAATTACCGATTTATATAAAATTAATCGTGATTCGGCCATCTAGCGCCTATATTTTACGTACCGCCTTGAGAGTCAATGAATATTTATCCAATAAAATTACTTTACCTATAGAATGAAGTAGATGGTGCTATTGCAATGCAATTTTACTCGCAATTTTCTGATGGTTTCACTACTACCACGTGTGAACTGCACTCATGTTTTTTTTTAGTTTAACTAATTAAATGTTTAGGAGTAGAACTTTCAGGCTAATGATGAAAAATTAGGTTTACCCGCGTCTGTGAGTTTGCTTAAAAATTTTGTTTTATTTATACGTGGAAGAGCAACGCTATGGCTATAATATAGTTTCATGCTCTTACAGAATACCAGCGTAAACTAGTAGCTTAATGCTGTTACGTGTAGTGAGTGTATAGAACCGGAGACCTTTATTTTTACTGGTAATAATGAAAAATTAAAAATTTTGTACAGCCGACTTCAATATAAGTTATTAAGAATAACTCAAAAACTATTAGTCTGACCTTGATCAAATTCATATGGGACCACACGAGAAGTACCAGCTTTCAAATAAAAAAAGAATCATCGAAATCGGTTCACCCAGTAAAAAGTTATGAGGTAACACACATAAAAAAAAAACATACAGTCGAATTGAGTACCGTCTCCTTATTGGAAGTCGGCAGACGAGGCAATTTATCTTAGTCACATGACAACGTATCTACATTTTGATTCTTAATCAAGGGTAGATAGTGTCTAAGGGCCACACGTTCCAACACTTTTAAACTTTACTACATTATGAAATTTTTGTTTACTGATTACGGAAACTGAACTTATCTCTTTTATATCTTACATCTTGTAATATTTTTTTTTGCTTTAAAAAATACTCAATGCCTTATTTACACAGAAATGTTTTCTCTAATAAATAAGTACTGTATGTATACACTTTTCACACCAAACATTCAAATTAATCAAAAATATTGTAAGTATATGAAAATTATAATGCGAATGCATCGTATTAATTATATATATTACAAAACAATCGAACATGCATAATTTCGGTCAGTAGATAGTACTATCAAAATGACGTTGGTTCTAAAACTGCATTGTTTTGTTTCAGTAAATTAAAATTTAGATATATTTAGGTAAATTTGATCGCAGCAAAAACACAAATGTGAAAAGAGGACAAGTTCGGTTTCACAGGTTCTACCAGGAATGTACAATATTCTTGGAACTGCTATAGATCTTGGCACCTTTTCAGATTCCTACTTTTTAATCGGTGAAGATTACAATCCGGAGCATTGTTTGTACTGAACTTGGCCCCTTTTTGGGCCAAGTTCGACGCGTATTTTTTTTTCATATTCACCAATTTCTCAGAAACTGCTATACCAAACTGAATGATTTTTTTTTATCAATAGGTTATACTTCGGAGCCAGTTCCACTTAAATTTAAAGGAAAAATCCTTTCCTAAGGATGTCGAGGAAGTCGATGGATGCAGGTGGCTCGGGACCGTGCTTTGTGGCATACATTGGGGGAGGCCTATGTTTAGCAGTCGACATGTGCAGGTCTGTAATGATGATGATGATGATGAATATCTAGAACTAACACCTAAAAGTGGCCTAAGTTTTTGATACATTGGTCAGTGAATCAGTGAATAAGTAAAGATATAAGTTTTTAACAGTGGTAGAGCCACGCGGCGGCTTTTGCTGCCGCCCGGATGGGCCGGCTCGAACCGGGGTGGTACCACGACCTCACAGAATACCAACGTGAAGTAGAGGTTTACCTCTGCGTTTCGCTTGGTGAGTGCAGGTGGCCGGAGGCCCTTTTTACTGGAAATGAGGCATTCCATCTTAGTCCTCACGGGTGACAACGCATCTGCATTTTGATTCGCAAACGAGGATAGATGTAGATGTCTATGGGCCGCAGCAACCACTGACCATCAGGTGGACTGTGTGCTCGTTTGTCACCCTTATCTTATAAAAAAAATATAACAGTTCGTGCATTGATAGATATAACAGTCTTGGGTCTTTCAGATCCTAATAACTCAAGGACTGTAATAGGTTTATTCATAAATTTTAAATACTCGAAGGGATGCTTATTAAACATGCAAAATTACAAGTGTATACGTCTAAAAGTTTTTGAGTTATAGTGGTTTCAAAAGTGGTTTGTGTGCATATTTATACTGCCAGTGCGTCGCCTTCTTTTTCGAACTTAGCTGACACGATGATGTAAATTTTAGTCAAGGGTTATCTTATGATAAATTTGGGAATCATTGATATCTTTCTAATAATTCACCATATGTATTACAATATTACCAAAGGATGTTAGTGCCTCACACACAAATAATTACTGTATCATTATCTTATTAAGTATTGCCATCCTATGCTATTCTTACGGCTCTACCAAGCTCAGAGTATTTGTCGTAATCGCTATGTTATTTTTAATTAATAATAAAAGGTGGGGACTGAAGCAAGTCCGTTAAAGTGGTACAAGTTAACTACATATATGGCAATACTAGAAATATTTCGTGGCCTTTCGATCTGTCACCCTAAGCAACTATTTGAAAAATTGCCTGTCATTAATGGTCACGGGGTAGGATGATGTGTTTAAAGTCCTGGTGTAACGGTTAGCCCTAACTACCTTCGTCTTTTAATTATTTTGTTTTCCCCGATCTATGCAAAATTGACTTAAATTACCCAATTTTAAAGGCTTAATTGATGTTCTTTTTTTGGCGTGGATTATGGTGTACTATATTAAATCTGCCAAATTAAATTAAGGAAATAATATCGCGTTCTTATCGTGAGATGGTCACCACACATAGTTCACGCACGATCGTCCCTGGATACAGTAAAGTAAACTCCATCAGCGGCACGCACTAAAGTCTATTTTAAGACCAGCTCTAGGCACAGACAGCGGCTTTCAAAGTTATTGATGAGACAACATAAATTAGAATATGAAAACCCAACGAAGGAAAATTTGTAATTGCTTTTGTATGCATATCAATAGGGGTTAGGATAAATTCATTAAACAAACCTAAATTATAAAAATCGCTTCCTTAAATGTTAATCTTTGAATATAGAATTTAAATAAATATAAACTTCGGTCCCAAGTCCCAGAAAAATTGTATTCTGATTTTATTAAATGGATTATTGAAATACACATATTATTGTTGTTTATATACAAATGAAACAAAAGTAAGAAATAGTAAACAACGTGATAATGTTAAATCTTTTCTTTGGTTTATTTAATTTTTGATTAAAACTCTGCCAATTAATAATCTGCATAATATTTTCAAATTTAAACAATAAAATTAGATTAAAAATAAAATAACGGCCACAGAATATTAAAATTTGCAATAAAACCCAAACCTGAAAAATGGCTCTCTTCGAAGTTTTTTTAATTGAAGACACCTATAAATAAAAGTTTGAATAGCTCTGTCTAAACGCATCGCATCCGTGCGGGCGCACAGTCGCAGTCGCGATGCGCGCGCCGTTCGACCCCGCGGTCTGCGCCGCTATACTACTACTTCCCCTTGTTCTCCTAGTACACAGTCACCAAGATGACAGAGGATACCACGCAGAGAATGGGTATCATGCGGAGGATGGCTACAGCCATGAAGATGCTATTGACGTGTGAGTGATGGGATTTCAGTGAACTTCGGTGTATATATTTACAAATAATTTTTCATTTTGATCCCAGTAATCATTCGATACAAAGATGAGGATAAACTTGAAGAGTACTTAAATGTTTATCATGCTACAAGTATGCGCTGATGAGCAAAATCCCCAAATAAAATGCCTAACGTACATAATCCATCATAATGTCTTCTTTGACATGTTGGTTTGCGGAAGCGATGCTCGTTAATCTGGTACGAATATAATGAATAGATATTTTTGTTTAAGAATTTTCAAGCAAGCTTTTGCAAATTTAAAATTTTTAAACTTATGTAATGTTATTAGTAACATAAAGATATCGATCAATAAGTTTATTTTCTTCAAAAATCTAATGTGTTTTTATTTTTATTAGTTGAAAGTTGAACTAAATTGTAGATACACAATTCATGTAGAATAGTCCTTTTAACTATTATTTATTCTGTGGTAGAATCTAGCAATATAATCAAAATGTAATAACTAAGTAGCAGTATGTTTGGTAATTGTATTTTAACGAATAAGAATATGTTAACCGACTTCAAAAAAAGGAGGAGGTACTCAGTTCGACTGTTTTTTAAGAGTGTTACCTCAGGACTTTTTTCTAAGTGAACCGATTTTGATGATTCTTTTTTTTTATTTGAAAACTGGTGGTTCTCATGTGGTTCTATATAAATTTAAACAAACTCTGACCCGTAGTTTTTGCTCTCACGAGTATCCTTAATAATGCGTGTTTAATTGACTTCGACCACATTGATGATGTTCTCATTATATTGAAGTCGGTTGTAGAAAATTTTTAATTTTACCACTTGGGTTTACATATATTTTATTTATTTAGAAATAATTATTGAGCTACTTGCAATTTGTGATTATCTACCTATTAGTAAATTATCCAGAAAAGGTGTTTATGAATGACAGGTGTGATTATTAGTATGATGTTGTACATATTTTTTATTATCAGAATTCAGAATTGTATAGAGTAAAAACCATAGAGGGTCGGTATGCCCGTGACCACACGAGAATATTCTGGCGCCCACCGCAAGTTGTTGGGTTACGAACCCAATATTTTGGGTTGCTAACTAAAAAAAATATTTTTACAAAAAAATTACCCCTTAAATAATATACAGTCGAGAAAACTTTTAACATATTAAATTCCATTTTATTACTTTTGAAATGTCACATGTCATTAAATACTCCGGCGTCCGCCTCCCGCCATTTTTATTGAAATATTTACTCATCTATACATCTATACAAATAAATATAATTGAAGTGTCTGTTTTAATGTCTAAATTACAACTTTTTACTAATTGCATATGAAAGTATATACGGTACTTATAACAAAAAGACAATTATTAAAATTTTTGTCTGTCTGTCTGTTTGTTCCGGCTAATCTCCGAAACGGCTGGACCGATTTTGATGGAACTTTCACTGGCAGGTAGCTGATTTCATAAGGAGTAACTTAGGCTACTTTTATTTTAGAAAAATAATTAGGGTTCCGCGCAAAAACATAAAAACCCTAACCGCGAGCGAAGTCGCGGGGAACAGCTGTGTTGATAAATAAATTTCTATGACGAACATTTAATGTTTTCGCTTGACCATTTCTTTTACGATTATTTATCAATATCTTAAACGGGATTGCTCATGTTCTATTTAATAAAGCATTTTAAAGTTTTAATTAAATACAAGAAAAAAGGCAATAGGCAGCCGTATATAATACATCGTCACACTAAGAAGGCTGGCTTTTGCACAATTTTACAGATATACAGATCGGCTTGAATCACTGGCACTGCGTAGATGTTGCATCTCTTTGCGTATCTTATCGCATCTATCACGGGGAGTGCTCTGAGGAATTGTTCGGACTAATTCCAGTCGCTCAATTTCACCATCGCACATCGCGAAAAAACTCGCGATACCATCCATACCATCTGGATGATTGGCTGTCCTTGTGGAATCGATTACCACCAGCGATTTTTCCGGACCGATACTACATAGGGACCTTCAAGAAAAGAGCCTACTCCTTTTTAAAAGGCCGATAACGCATCTGCAATTCCCCTGGTGTTGCAGTTGTTCATGGGCAGCGGTAGTCACTTACCATCAGGTGAGCTGCATGCTCGTTTTCCCCCTCTCGTATAAAAAAATATATACAGATACCTTCATAGCAGGTGCGTGTAGTATATTATACTTATCTCTAAGTGTTTATCATTACTTGTGATGATTTGGTGATTGAATTCACCAATAGCAGAATCTTTGGGCTATTTCAATATAAAGCCTATCAAATACCTACCAAAGAGAAGCGAAAGACTTTTCAGTTTGACCTAGTCTCTACTATCAGTAACTTTACGTTACCACCAATAATGTTGTCGATAGTCCACGCATTAGAACCAAACGGTTTGCTTCGTCTTTTGTAATTCGTACAGCAAAGGAGTGGAATAATTTGCCGGTGTCTATCTCTCCGTCCGAATACAATCTAGGCGTCTTCAAGGCAAGAGTGAAGACTTTTGTTACGCTAAGACAGTGCGATTTACCATCTAAAGCTGCATTACTACTTACCACCAGGTGGGATTGTGGTGCACTGGCTTATAATAAGTAAAAAAAAGTAGCAAATGAACGATCATGAGCTTACTCCTTTTATAAAGGCCGAAAACGCACTTGCAATTCCTCTATTTGATGTCCTCTGTGGATTTCCTATCTGTTATGGGCGGCGATCGACATAACCATCACGTAAGCCGGCTCATTTGCCACTCTTCTATAAAAAAAAAATGGTTCTCTACGGAATGCTCCTGCACTACGAAAATGCGCTAGTCAATTGTGCGATCTAAACGTGGGACTTTCTGTCAGGCGAACCCATCAAACTCTTTGTCACACTCAAATTCCTACGATGGGATTCTGCAACTCTAGAGGGAATTGTTTGCCGGTGAGAATCACCCCGAAACTGCATTATGTTTTTTTCATTATGATTATATTCTGTTTGTAAATTAATATTAAATGTTAACATATAAAAGACATGGGCTTATAATCGCTGCTTTTTTTTATAAGATAGGGTGACAAACGGGCACACAGTCCACCTGATGGTAAGTGGTTGCTGTGGCCCATAGACATCTACATTTATCCTCGTTTGCGAATCAAAATGCAGATGCGTTTTCACCCGTGAGGACTAAGATGGAATGCCTCTTTTCCAGTAAAAAGGGTCTCCGATTCTCTACACTCATCATACGAAACACAGCAGTGTTAAGCTGCTATTCGACGCAGGTATTCTGTGAGAGCATGGTCCTTCCCCGGTCGAGCCAACCCATTCGTGCTACAACTATACTACTAATAGCTGCAGCATGGCTCTACCACGTTGTAAATGCTGATGCATTTGTACACAATATATCGAAACCAAACGTACTGTAAATGTCAAAACGAATGCAACACACTAGAGTTACGCAATCGCACTGTTGATTAATAAATATAACAGACTAAGAATAAAACAAGCTTAATACTTAAACAGTATTAAAAGAACACGACTGCGTTAAAAAGTTTACTAGCAAGATGCAAGATATAGTTTGCATCAGCAAATACAAAAAAAAGTTGTTTGCAAGTTTGCGCGTTTACCGCTAAAAAGAACCCCTTCGTCGTATCTCCTCGGTTTCAAGGCACTCCCGTTCTTGCCTCAGCCAGTATCGGAATCTTCGGAGTCGACATATCGAGTGACGGGCAGTTTCGTGGTCGTTTGGAAGGGAAGGCCAAATTGGCCTCTAAAAAGCTTGGCGTGCTCAGCAGAGCAGGACAGTATTTCTGTAACTTTACAAGGCGCAGGTTCAGCCTTCCATGGAATACTGTTCCCATCTCTGGGCAGGGGCTCCCCAGTGCCAGCTCCTTCCACTTGACCACATCCAGCGCAGAGCGGCTCGAATCGTCGACGACCGAGTGCTTTCCGATCGGCTCGATTCATTGGCACTGCGAAGAGATGTTGCATCCCTTTGCATTTTCTTTCGCATCTACCATGGGGAGTGCTCTGAGGAATTGTTCGGATTAATCCCAGCCGCCAAATTTCACGAACGCACATTGCGGCAGAACTCCCGATACCATCCACTGATTGGCGGTGCACCACTGTGCGATTTAGAAGATGTTTTCTTCCTCGTACAACTTCCTTGTGGAATCGATTACCATCAGCGATTTTTTCGGACCGATACGACTTAGGGACCTTCAAGAAAAGAGCCTACTCCTTTTTAAAAGGCCGGCAACGCATCTGCAATTCTCCTAGCCGCAACACTAGCCGCTACACTACACTTGTTCATGGGCGGCGGTAGTCACTTACCATCAGGTGAGCCGCATGCTCATTTGCCCCCTCTCCTATAAAAAAACATTATATAGCCTATTTCACTCCCACAATTAAGATGAATTTAACGACACCTCATATGTTAAAATCCATCAAGTTGTTTAGGATACAGCGCGTGAAAAATAAATAGACATACATACATACATACTGTCGAAAAACATTACCCTCATTCTGGGGCAGTCGGGTAAAAAGACAAATAAGGACTACGATAATCACAGTTGAGAGATGCACGTGTTGAATTCGAGCAAGCGGTGTTTACTGTGGAAGACTTTCCGTCTTATAAAGTAGACATGCTTTGAAAATTAGTTTAACTTGGCTAGGTACTGAGCTTTGTGAAAAAAAAAGTCGTATTTAAATTTTTAAGTAATAATTTTCCGAGGACTGCCTGAGAATTTTTTCCAGGATTTAATTAAGCATACAGACGCGTTGTAGACATTGAAGTATAATGTATTTATGTTCTCGTAAATACTGCCTCAATGGTTGTATACAAAATATAAAATAGGTCCCTTTTATTTATTTTTTCAGTCTTGACAACCCATGCCTAATCAAAGTATTTTCTGTGGTCTTAAAATTAAAAAAAAAAACGTAATTAAAATATGCAAATATACAAAATAAAAGTACAAAAATATACAGAATTGTTTGTCATTGGTTAATGTAGTTTTGA